AAAAACTAGCCAATGGTGTGTGCCTGCAGTCCCAGCTCCTCAGGAGGCCCAGATGGGACTTGAGCCTAGGAGGTCAAGGCTGTGCTGAGCTGTGATTGCACCACTGCACTCCAGCCTGGGTGACAGAGTGAGACCCTGTCTCAAAAAAATAAAAATAAAAATACAGAAAATTGGCAGGGCACAGTGGCTCACTTCAGCACTTTGGGAGGCTGAGGTGGGAGAAGTGCTTGACTCCAGGAGTTCAAGACCAGTCTGGGCAACATGGTGAAACCCCATCTCTACAAAACAAACAAAAAAATTAACCAGGTGTGGTGGTACACACCTGTGGTTCTAGCTACTTGGGAGGCTGCGGTGGGAGGATCACCTGAGCTCAGGGAGGTCGAGGCTGCAGAGAGCTGTGGTTGCACCATTGCACTCCAGCCTGGGTGACAGAGTGAGACCTTGTCTCTAAATAAATAAATAAAATCAATGTAATTTATCAGATTAACAAATTAAAGAAGCATATAATTAACAGATTATAGCATTAAACAAGAGAAAACATGTCCCAAAGAAAGTTCAACATTCAGTTGATATAATGATTTTAGGCAAAAAAAAAAAAAAAAAGGAAGGAGATTTTCTTAATCTGATAAGTGATATCCACTAAAAGCCCAAGCATCACATACTTCATGATAAAATGTTGATAGCATTGCCTCTGAGACTAGGAGCAAGGCAAGCCTGCCTGCTAAGTCTACTATTATACAATGTTGTAGTGGGGGGGGGGGTCATAGTAAGTGCAATAAGACTAGAAAGGAACAAAATAAACTATTATTATTCCAATAAAGTGATTATTAATGTAGAGAGTCCAAAATATTATTTAAAAATATTAGAATTATAATGTGAGTTGAGAAAGTTTGCTGCATACAAAGTCAATATATAAAAATCAACTGTATATTTATATAACAGCAATCCTTAGGAAATAACGTTTTTAAAAGTATTCCATTTATAACAATACCAAAAATATATAAAATATCTAGAAATACATCTGAAAAAAGATGAGCAAAACCTCCACAACAAGATGAAAAACATTACTGAGAACAATTAAGATATCCATGTTTGTAGATTAGAGGAGTCAGTATCATAAAGATGTTAATTCTCTCCAAATTGATCTATATATGTTCAATATAATTTCAATCGAAACTCCAGATTATTTTTGTGGAAAACACCAAGCACATTCTCGATTTCATATGAAAAGGAAAGGGAAAGGAAAACCTAAGTCCTCTTGAAAAATATTCAACAAAGAAGGACGACTTGCTCTATCAAAGAAGACAGCATGGTACCAGGGCAAAGATGCACAAGTAGACCAGTGAAATAGAACAAAATCCAGAAACAGACCCACGCATACATGGACACAAGTTACGATGAAGAGGGCAGCAAAGCACCTAAGAAAAGATGGCTTAAGTGGTGCCAGGTTAGCTGGATATTCATACAGGAAAAAAATAAATATTTACCCTTACCTCACTTTATATACACAAGAGCCAATTTCAGGTGGTTTGTACATCTTAATGTAAAAGTTTTTTTTTTGTAAAACAACAATGTTTTTAGAATACAACATAAGCAATATCTTCCTGGCTTTGGAGTACTAAAGGTATCTTAAACACAAAGCACTAATAATAAATGAGAAGCCTGATAGATTGGACTACCTTAAAATTAAAAACTTTTGTTCCTCAAATGACACCTTTATGAGAGTGACAAGGCAAAGATAACTGACAAGGGCTCATATGAGCAGTATATAAAGAAGTCATTATGTTTTTTAAAAAAAGCCAGGCCAGGCAAGGTGGCTCATGCCTGTAATCCCATAATCCCAGCACTTTGGGAGGCCGCAGCAGGCGGATCACCTGAGGTCAGGAGCTTGAAACAGCCTGGCCAACATGGCAAAACTCTGTCTCTACTAAAAATACAAAAATTAGCTGGGCGTGTTGGCACATGCCTATAGTCCCTGCTACATGGGAGGCTGAGGCAGCACAATCGCCTGAACCCAGGAGGCAGGGTTCAGTGAGCCAAGACTACACCACTGCACGCCAGTGTTGGTGACAGAGCAAGACTCTGTCTCAAAAAAAAAAAAAAAAGCCAGGCAAAATGAACCAAAAGAAAAATGGGCAGACTTGACCGGGCACTTCACAAAAGAGGATACCTCAAAGGCCCCAAAACACTTGAAGAAGTGCTCATTCCCATTAGTCATCAGGGAAATGCACATTAAATGAGATACCACGACATACCCTCCAGAGTGGTTAAAGGAAAACAACTGAAAATAGAAGTATTGGTAAAATGTAGAGCTGTGGAAAGCGCCTGTTGATGGGAGTGAAAATTGGTCTAACAACCTTGGAAAACTGTTTAGCATTACCTGTTAAAAGTGAGTAACATGCAGAGCCTGTGATCCAGCAACTCCACTCCTAGGTGTGTACCCAACATAAATATACACTGTCCACATGCGAACAGAGAAACAAGCACAGGAATGTCACAGCAATGTTAATCATAATGCCACAAACTGGAAAGCATCCAACTACCTATTAAATGTAGAACAGATAAGATCCACTGAGCACTTTCCACGTTTCCATTTTAAAGTTTTAAACCATTCACAGGTGAAACAAAAATAAAATAGAACATTCTAAACACCATCACTTTCCCACGGAAGAATACAGTCAGGGTTGGCCTCGCTCAGCTGTGGTTGTGGAAGGTGCCTCACCTGAGCCCTGAGGATGCTCATGGTTTCCAGGTCCTCCTCCTGCTTTGCAATTGTTTGCTTCATCTCATCCATTTGAAGCTGTTTGGAAGCCAGAGCCTTCTCTGCCAGTTCCAGTTTTTCACTCAGTTCCTTCAGCACTGACCTGTCCACTTTTTCTGACTGAAAAAGACACATTTATTCTAGAAATGGTTTTGAAATAATTTTGCCTATTTTAGTAAAATATTAGAAAAAGGTTTATTATTTTTAATTATCAGCTCTGGCAGGGTGTGGTGGCTCATGCCTGGAATCTCAGCACTCTGGGAGGCTGAAGTGGAAGGATCATTTGAGCCCAGGAGTTTAAGACAAGCCTGGGCAACATAGTAAGACCTGTCTCTATGTAAAAAAGAAATGTATCAGCTCTAATCAGTCTGTTAATTAACAATGCTAACTTATTCAGAAAGTTATATTTAAGTTGTGACTTGCAGATAACGAATTCCTAAAAAAAGGTAACCCTAAAATCAGGGATACAAAAACAAGATTATCCAATCTTGATAAGGCTGTGACTTGTTGATACTGTTATTTTTCCACGTCTTACTTCCTGAAGTCAGTGGAAAAGAAGAAACATGAAATAGTGATACACTGGAAAGCAATCTTTAAAACCAGACTTAGGGAAGGATTCATGCAACTATTTTATATACAAAACGTTCAACAATTTCTGTTCATTACTAGGCGATGAAAGTAAATTTTTTCTGTGAATACCTCTTTTCTTGTTAGTTCCTCAATTGCTTTCAATGCATTATTATGTTCTTGAAGGAGCTTGTTGTGTGTCAATTGTAGCATGGCTAATCTGGACCTATGAAAAAAGACATTAAAACATGGAACCTTGGGGAAAATATCATAGAAACTTACAGTCTTGCCTCCGAACCTTTGGAACACTCAAGTGGAAAAATCTTCTCGCCTACCTTTATCATCCCACTACCTACTAGCATTTTTTACTCTCAAAAAAAACTTTTCTGAAAAATCAAGATGGAATGCAAACAATCAACATAATTTTATTATGACAAAACTTTTAAACTTTATCCCCTCTGAGAAGTCTCCTAGGACTCCTTCAGATAAGTGAAAAGGAATTTTTTAAAAATTTATTTTCAAATCTGAATTACAAACTGTATAAAAAGGCGACTCTCCTCTGCCCAGTGGCCACCCCTCCCCTTCCAACACACACACTCACTTTTCTTCCTCTGTTTTAGCCTGCTCCATTTTGATTTCTGATAGCAGGCTTTCCACTTGCAGCTCTAACTTTTTGTTATGATAAACAAGCTCTTGCTTTTCATTCAATTCTGATGGGGTTGCAGAGTTTTTCCTTTCCAGGGCTTGACACCTAAGAAAGGTCAAGGTTTCATGAGGATAAACAATACTTCTTTACATCTCAGTGGCTTTTAAACAAATCCCAGGGTTAGGTACAATACAAAGAGTTTTAGGGCTGTAGAGTTTTACATACTTCTCTTTGCTTCTTTACTAGACATGGCCATATTTCTGAAACCTTATACCTAAACATAAAAAAGTACAGATCTAGTCACGTCCAGTACTGTCCTCTTTAAATAATTATTTTAACTGGTTGTACAGATACATTTTTATTATTTAAATGCAGACCACAGTAGTAATTAGCTAAAGGTGCTTCTCATGTAGTAATGCATGGATATCTTTTATATTTAAAAAAGTTACAAGTTCTGTCAATTGCAAAGACATTAGTTTCTGACAAAGATTCAATAAGGGAAAAAGGAAGCTCCCCTAAGCCTTCTTAAAGATCAGAAAGAGAATTTCAATATAATACAGATAAATGACAACTATGCACAAAGCATTAATGCCAAGCGCATAAGACATATCATTTAACACAATGTATACAGAAGAAATTATAATGCACAATTTACAAATGACAAGACAGGCTCAGAGAAGTGAAATAAATACCTTGCCCAGCACAAACAACTCGCAGACCCATATGCCAAATCTAGGTGTGTTAGTCCAAAGTCCTAAGTTGTAGCTGCCATATTGTATCACGTTACCCTAACACTACAGAGTGTTGGGAATTACAACCTCAAGAAAACACACACACCTCCATATTGTGCTAGAAGCATGTTAGCCAATGAATCCAACAGAACAACATCGACTTAGGTTTGCTAAGTTTTGGGTAACTTCTTACATCAAGAGAAACAAGCAAATGCCAAATTCTCAATGTACATGTTAGCCTGAAATAATTGGTTGAAATAACAAATTGAAATAGACGTTTTTCCAAGTAAGGGTCACTCAAGATCTTTATGTTCTTTTCGTCTTTCTTTATGCTCATTCACATCAATGTCATCAGCTTAAGTCAGTAGCAGGAAACCTAGCTCACAGCTATGTAGAGCTCTCACTTAGGATCGTACATTAAATAAACGCCCCTAAATGGCAGAATTAAAGTTCTCCAGTCCCCACTCCCCCATATTACAATTATTTAAGTGGAACATTAACTGGAACATTAGTATTTCCTGAATTCATATTTTAATTAGGTCTCTATTTTTCTTTTAGCCATAATATAGTAAAAAAAAAGACCTATGATTTTCTATAGTAGTAAACTTTGTAAAAATGTATTCAAAGAGGGATGAAATTGCTCTTGCATTCTTACTTTTCTTGAAGTCTCTTCTTCATTAGCTCAGCTTCACTGAGTTTTGTATGAGCTTCTTGAAGCTCCTTAAACAGGGATGTCACCTGAAGGTTCAGTGCCTCTACTTCACTTCCAACCTATCATACAGGAAATCCCAAACATATGTATACGATTATCATCAGAGATGAAACAACCCTCTTTGGGAGAAAACAGTCTGAACCATTAGTCGCCAGTTAAGACTGGATGGTTAATTGATTCAACTTTGACAATACTCCAAATATCTTGTATGAAAAGAGTGTTTTGGATACTTGGTACTTGGGTTTGCTAATAAAGCATGAACTAATCAGTTTGGATGTACTCGTGATAATGACTTTATCACTATTAAAATTAACCCTACTCCAGGTTCAGAGATCACAGACCACCAATGTGTCAAAGCACAGTCCTATCTACCCAGCTAACAACTTGCCCCCATACTCCCTTCCCAGTGTATGTTTCTAGTTTACTCAACTACTTCTGTTGTATAGCCTTTTTCCTGGCAGCTGTATAATTTTTTTCTTTTTTTTTTTTTGAGACAGAGTGTCACTCTGTCACCAGGCTGGAGTACAGTGGTGTGATCTTGGCTCACTGCAACCTCTGCCTCCCGGGTTCAAGTGATTCTCCTGCCTCAGCCTCCTGAGTAGCTGGGACTACAGGTGTGTGTCACCATGCCAAGCTAGTTTTTGTATTTTTAGTAGAGACAGGGTTTCACCATGTTGTCCAGGATGGTCTTGATCTCTTAACCTTGTGATCCGCCTGCCTCGGCCTCCCAAAGCGCTGGGATTACAGGTGTGAGCCAGCCCTCTATAATTTTTGTAAATGAGTTTGTGATGTCTTGAAATACCATACTTCCCTACTATTGGCTGTTGAATGAGTTTTAGTCAACAGGGTACTATTTTTCACTGGTGGTCTCTTCATCTGTTTTCTAAATGTTCTTTATTCTCTCAATAGTAGAGTTTCAGTCTCCTTGCATACAGTAGGCATTCAATATATACACTTGTTGAATAAATTAATTACCTAAAGTGAATATTTTATGTAAACACCTTTCACATGGGCTCCTATAGCTATTACACCTTCACAGCTTCAGTATCTTCCCTAAGCTTAAGACTCTGCAGACTCAAAGGCGCCTCTCTAAATTACCAGACAATACTGAACAAGACAATACTGAACCTTTTTCTTTCAAACTACTTTATTCAAACCAGTAATGGGATAGAACCAAAATATTTCCATTCTACCTCAAGTTTCTGAGTCATATCCTCAAATGATCTTATTATGAAGTGGAGAAAATTCCTTTTTCATACAGTAGGCTTGTTCATTTAAGGATTTAGGAGAAGAAATTAGTCAAGAAGAAATATAGGAAATGGTTTTGCAGAATACTGATAGAAGTACATCTTGCTACAATTGACACAGCATGAAATTCAGACCAGGACAAGGAAATATAAAAGGAATAGATAATGTTCAACATCAACACAATTTCTCTATTTCTAAAGCCAATAACACATCATGAGATTGGAATTTGGTGGCTGGACTACTCTCGTGTATGGGGGTGTGACAGTGGCTGTAGGATCTCAGTACTCACAGTCTCTGCGCCTTTCTCTTCCTCATTCTCTTTCTCTGTGCTCCCATCTGTCTGGGTTTCAACCTCAGAACGATTGCTCGCTTTCTTTTCAAAATCTGAAACTCTGAAAATCACAGAATGTAGAAAAGTTACTTTCTCTTTGGCCTTAAGAAAAATAGCAATTACAGAAGCACTAAAAAGAACACTGTTTACAATTTGGATAAAGGATCAGGGGTTTTCAAAATCTCTACACATTCACTATATTAGCATTAGTTTTATTTTTCATCCTAAAATTGGCTAGAATTGATTTCACAGATGAATACACACAGAGGTAAAAGGCAAGTATAACTTGAACACCATCTATTTTCATGTAATTGTGCTATGCAGAAATGTTTTTGAAATTGTTTTTGTGTGTGTACACATGTGGATGCATGTGTGTTCCATGAACATGGTATCTCATTTTTAAGAATTCAGTAGAGAAGGAAGACTTTTCCTTTTAGGACATATCTAAGTTTAAAAGTCACTGAATAAACAACAACAAAAAACTATAACACCATTCTTACACCAAATCATAACCACAGGAAAGCCATCCCAATATAAACAAAACAATAGAGACTATGGTTAAAGACAGTGGGTTGAATATATGCATAGAATTTTTTTCCCAGCCCAAACTCTACTAGAATGACTTTCAAAAAGCTATGTGCCTACAGGAAAAAAGAAAAAGGGAGAGGAAATAACAGCAGGAAAATATGGAAGCATAAGTCTGAGTGGGGCCTTACCAGCCCAAGAAGGCTGACCTTTAAGCCAACTGTAGGGAGAGCCAAGAAGCAACCAGATTCACACTGTGGGAACTCCAGGATGCTCAGGAATGAGTGACACTAGGAACCTCTGCAAATGATGATGACAAAGGTGGGGCCTTAGCTTTCCCCCTAAGATCAGGAACAAGACAAGGATTCCTGCTCTCTCCATTTCTATTTAACTCCTTTTTTTGGACAGGATAATCAGGCAAGAAAAAAAAATAAAAGGCATTCAGACTGCAAAAGAAGAAGCAAGACTATCTCTGCAGATGACATAATCCTGAAGATGGCAATTCTCCAAATGATTTGGTGATACAATGCTATCCCTAGTAAGATCCAAGCAGGTTTTTTTCAGAAATTAACAAGCTGATCCTAAAATTCATATGTAACAGCAAAGAACCCAGAATAGCCAGCAGTCTTTAAAAATAAGAACAAAGTTGGAAGGCACACTCTTCTTGATATGGTTGGGCTTTGTGCCCCCACCCAAATCTCATCTTGAATTGTAATCCCCATAATCCCCACGTGTCAAGGGAGAGACCAGGTGGAGGTAACTGAAGCATAGGGGCAGTTTCGCCCATGCTGTTCTCGTGACAGTGAGTGAGTTCTCATGAGATCTGATCAGCACCTCTCCTTCCTGCTGCCTTGTGAAGACGGTGCCTTGCTTCTCCTATTGCCCTCCGTCATGATTGTAAGTTTCCCGAGGCCTCCCCAGCCATGCTGAACTGTGAGTCAATTAAACTTCTTTTCTTTACAAATTACCCAGTCTCAGGCAGTTCTTTACAGCAGTATGAAAACGAACTAATGCACTTCCTGATTTCAAAACTTACTACCAAGCTATAGTACTCAAGACACTGTAGTACTGGCATACGGACAGACATAGATCAATGAAACAGAATTGAGAGTCTAATGAAGTTGGACTTCTATATCACAGCATACATTGAAACTCAGAATGGACCACAGACTTAAATGTCAGACATAAAAGTACAAAATTCTTAAGAGAAAACAAAGGAGTAAATCTTTGTGACCTTGAGTTAGGCAATGGTTTCTCAGAAGGGACATCAAAAGCACAGGTGACAAAAGAAAAAGGAGACAAACTGTATTACATCAAAATAGAACAAATGTGCTGCAGATGATACCATCAAGTGAAAAGACAATCCATAGAACGGGAGAAAATAGTTGCAGATCAGATGCTTAATAGGGGACTTGTATCCAGAATGTAAAATGGATTCTTATAAGTCAATGTAAAAAGACAACCCAATTTTTAAAAATCGGCCAAGGATCTGAATAGACTTTTTTCCAAAGCAAACAAATGGCCGACATGAAAAGATGCTCAACATCACTGTCACTAGGGAAATATAAGTCAGAACTATGAAATACCAATTCACATCCACTAGGATGGCTCAAGTCAAAGTGACAGACAGTAAGAAGCAAGCATTGCTATGGACGTGGAGAAAGTGGGATGCTCATACACTGCTGGTGGGAATGCAAAATTGCACAGCTGCTCTGCAAAGCAATTTGGTGGTTCCTTAGAATATGGAGCAGAGTCACCATATGACCCAGCAATTCCACCCATAGCAATATACCCCAGCGAATTAAAAACGTACGTCCAAGTAAAAGCTTGTACACAGTGTTCACAGCAGCATTGTTCATAATAGATAAAAAGTGGCAACAACCCTAATGTTTATCAACTGACAAATGAATAAACAAATATGGTCTATATAGACAATGGAAGATTATTCAGTAAGGAAAAGGAAGTATTGATATGTGCTACATTGTAGATGAACCTCAAAAGCATTAGGCTAAGTGAAAGAAGCCAGTCAGAACAGACCACAGACTGTATAATTCCATTTATATGAAGTGTCCTGAATGGCCAAGTCTATAGAGACAGAAAGCACACTGCTTAGAGGAGCAGGTAGTGAGTGCTATTTGGGGGAAAATGTTCTGAAATTATATTTTAGCAACAATGGGTGCATAATCCTGTGAG